TCTGAAGAAGGGTCTAGGCCCGAAACGTCAGCCTTCCTGCTCCTCTGATGCTGCTTAGCCTGCTGTGTTCATCCAGCTCTGCATCTTGTTATCTCAGATTCTCCAGCATCTGCAGTTCCTGCTATCTTTTTAACAATACCATTTGTTTGCAGACTATCTCTAGAAGCTGCTTCATACAGAGTTGTGCTGATTCCCTGGGGGCAGATGGCATGTGGGCTGCTATCTGCACAATCTTCATCATTGATACCAATGAGAAATGCCACACGAGCTATGCAGGGAACAGCCTGTGGCATTCTCTGTCCCCGGAGAATCATCATAGTCTGTGTAGCACCACACAAAGCAGCACAACACAAACACATCGTTTCTTTTGGACGTTTAGAGCAGCCAGCTGGAATCCATTTTGTTTCAATTCACTCACAGGATGTGAGTGTCTCTGGCTAGGCCAGTATTTATTGCCTATCTTAATTGTCAAGAGTCGACCATATTACTGTGGATCTGGAGGCGTACGTAGGCCAGACCAGGTAAGGACAGCAGGCTTCCTCTGTAAAGGATATTAGTAAATCCAGATGGAATTTTCTGACAATCAACATGGTCATCATTAGACCCTTAATTGCAGGTTCTTTATTGAGTTCAAATTCCACCATCTGCCATAGCAGGATTTGAACCCAGGTCCCCAAAACATTTGCTGAATTTCTGGATTAATAATCTAGTGATTATACCACTAGGCCATTGCTTCCCTCATATCTATGAGGATACAGAATGTCAGAACCAAACCTGCTTCTCATACACTCGTTTATTTAAACAAAAACATTAATTCTACACAACTTTCAGCTTTACACAGAACTGAAAATTTGCTGTGCTAATTAGCCTTCAGAAATTGTGAATTGCATGGAATGTGGCAGAACTATGTCCACTTATTCAGGAACCGAAAAGTAGAGAGTCCAAAACTTCACTGTAAGTTTGCCCAGGTGCTTGTTTGGGGAACAGTATCTGCTTCCATAAATATGGTACCCAGTGTGTAAAAAGGCAAAGCTGAGGAAGGGAATCCCCAGCTAGGAAGTTTCCTAAGTCTCAGCTTTGATCCACAGATGGCACCTAGTTGGGGTAAATTCTAGCCAGTGGCACCACACAAAGCAGCACTAACAGCCCTCCCCCAAAGAAATCACCACCCCTGTCCCCATCCCCATCCCTCTGGAATTGCAATGTAATAGAGTAGTACGGCCATGCCAACTTTCTGTAAAAGCAAGGGGAACTACCTCCTTACTCCGTGCACTGACAGAATGAGCAACAACGAATCCCATGGGCCAACATTGCTAAGTATGTTGGATCAAAGACCCACAGATTCTTCCTTCCATTGTACATGGATTTTTTTTTATTTGGGAAATTATGTTTTGAAATTATATGTTGGTGGATAAATTTAAAACTGCAGGGATAAGGGTTATATTCTAACATAGACTGAGCCATGCATCATTTTTTTGTAGAGGCCTCTGTGTAGATGCACTGATTGAGCTGTCTGATGAGAATGCTGACTGGAAACTCAGCTTCAATGAGTTTTTGAACTGCTTGAATCCTGGTTTTGTCCCACCTGAGAAAAGTAAGTACAAACTGACATTACTTTACACCTAACGTACAGAATATTCAGCTATTTATTGTCTATCCCACACTGCCTTCCAGGTTCCTCACTTTATTTTCCCTATTACTGTATTTGGTTGTCTTTAGGAGGTAGGTTGGACATTGAGTTTCTTGTACTTTTAGCAACCAGCCCTGACCTTGTGCTGATCTGATATCCACTAAGGAACATTGCATGGATGTGACAAGCAGCAATTCTACCTAATTTAGCCCCTTCCTAACTTGACAGAGTTTTGAAACCAGTTGTTGGACATAGAGGAAGATTCAAATCTGGGGCTTTTTTGGGTCTGTATAGTTCAGTACCAGGCCAAATATATGTATTACCCAATCAGTGGTCAGGAGAGCTACACAGGTCATCTTTTAGTCATATCCTTAAAAAAAAGGTCAGTTGCAAAATCTTTTAAGTGAGGAATTGAAAAGTTAAAGAATTCAACATTCAGAGGTTTGGGCTTGTTTTATTTTTAGGTGTTTGCCATCCAGCAAAGGGTACGCATTCTTTTTACCTATTTTCAACTCGGACTGCCCACACTCCCACTGTGTCCATATTTACCGCAAAGTGGACAAGTTGAAAAGCTTGTTGCCAAAAACAGAATGGTTCTGTGAAGCATGTTTGGATTTTTTTGCTCTCACCTGTAGTGAGACATTTAGCTCCTATCCACTCAGTGCAATGCACTTATTGTTATACAGGAGCTGAGCACTTGAAACAATACTCAGAATGACAACATACTTCTAAATACAGTCTTTTAAATAGAAGCCTTTCTGAAAATGCTCAAGCTAGTGCTTTCCCAGCTGAAACAGAGAAATATGCAAGGACAGTGAGAATTGACATACCTGGTACAAGATGGAGAAAGAAAATGACAAAATTGCTAGAGCTGCTTTTTGCAGCAATTTTAAATTAGAGTTCCCCTGCTGGGTTCTTAAATTTATCCGAAGCTATTTTATCATAGCAGCCTGTAGATGGTGCTAGATAAGAATATATAAGTTCTAGTTCAGTTTATTTGTAAAACTTCAGATTTTAACTTGATGCCTCCGCCTAAAAGGAGAGGTTTAGAATTTGATAACAAGGTGCCATATTTAGTAATGAAAGGCTTGAGGCATAAAGATACTGTTTTGTTTCCTGGTGCTACCAATACAATATCACTCTGTAATATTAGAGAAAAACAAAGTTTTAACTGTACTTCTGCATCAGATTCCTTGCGCCAGATTTTGTCTCCAGGAGGAGAGATGAATCAGCTCTCCAAAATGCAGAACTTGGTTGTTTTTCTGCAAATCAAGTCATATGTTGTCTGAGGCCACAGACAAATAGGCCACTCAAAGGCCTTGCAGCCTCTGTCATTTAATTTCAGTCAGCAGCACACAGATGTCATCCACATCCTATTCACCAAACTGGCACACGTTCTCAATCCAGATAGACACTGCGTCACATACACAGGTAATCCTAAGGAAACTTGGGCTGCTTGAATGTTTTGACTGAAACCCCCTCCAGATGCATGGATGGGGTTAGAGTTATTCCCTAAAATTCTGACATCTTCTTCTGTTGACCACAAAGCCAACTACAGAGAAGGTACAGTGAGAGGCACCTTCTCACAAGGATGCTAATTGTACTGGAGTCCAGATCATTGTAGCCTTCCTGACACTCCACATCCTAGCTCTGGGCTCTGTGCAAGGATTTGGTACTAGAGGAGCTGAGGAAGGAAGCCTCTCCTCCAATGAAAAGTAGGAGGTGAAGGAGGAGGAATTCCACATGGATGAAGATAGTGTGGATAAATTTCAATAGTAAGGGCCTCAGAGATGGGCCAGGCAACATTATCATGGAGGCCATGAGGAATCCATGCAGGAACAGCATAGTGGATCAAGATCTTCTGACATAACAGTGTGTCACATGATGGGAGCCTTCCATGAGAGTGAAACCTGGGCTGGAAGGCAGTGGAGCATGCTTGAGACACAAACAGAATCATTAGGAACATCCTGCAAGCAAACACGTCAGGTCTGATCAAGACTAACTGGATGTGGTGGTGGGTGAGGTATTAAAAGACCTTTGGCCATGTGGAAAGTCCAGTATTTTGTAATTATAGTATAAATAGATAACATTTTGCAGAGATAAAGGTTTGAGTTTAACTTTACACATGTTATCTTACTCTACTCAACTTATCTGAACACCAGTGACCCAATTAGCAATGTACATGATATGTCCTCTGCTTTTAGATATTCTTACATTGTACTCTGCTTATTGTGGAGATAGCTGTGGAACTGGACAACCTATGTGACTGAAGCAGTCGATGTTTTTGTGCAGGGACCCATTGGAGCCCTCCTAATGACTACACTACCTACACAACTACACAAATGTGGTTGACTCTAGACTGCCCTCTGGGCAATTAGGGATGGGCAATAAATGCTACCTGGTCAGCGAAGCCCTCATCCCGTGAATTAATAAAGAAAAAAAAACTCCACAGCCATCCTTGTTTGGACCTGGCAAGCAAATGGAGTATCAGGCTGAGGGTCCTCGGAATCTGAGGCCAGTGAGATTCCTTCAAAATGTATGGATGCCCCTGCCTCAGGTGTGCTGCACCCCACTCTACCACCCGTGAAATAGTCCTGTTCAATAACTGCAGTTCCTCTCCCATGGGAGGCAGTGGTGCAGTTGTATTGTCACTTGTCCAGTAATCTGGGTAATGCTCTGGGACTCCAGACCCACAACAATGTAGTTAATTTTTAACTGTTCTCTGAACTGGCTGACCAAGCCACTTAGTTGTATCAAATTGCTAAAAAGCCTCAAAAAAGAAATGAAACTGGATGGACAAAACTGGTTCAACCACTAGAAACAACAATGGCAAACCATGCCATCTCCACCTGCAGAGTCATCATTATCAACACCTGGTGGATAATACCAAAATTGGGAGAACTGTCTTGCGAACTAGTCAAGCAACAACCTGACATAGCCATACTCTCAGAATTATATCTTACAGACCAGGCCCTAACAACATCATTATTATCCCTGGCAGGACAGGCCTAGTGGAGGTGATAGCGCAGTGGTTTACAGTCACGAGTTGCCCTGGGAATTCTCAACATTTACCTTTGGATTCAACAAAGTCTTCTGGCATCAGGTCAAATGTGCAAGAATGTGGTCAAACACGTGCAAGCTGCACCGCAGAATCTCACCAGGGTTCTTAGATAACACCTTCCAAACCTATGACCACTACTGACTAGGAGGACAGCTACAGCAGATACACAGTGACCTGAAAGTTCCCTTCCAAGTCACTCACTATCTGAGTTGGAAATATCACAAATGTCAATGGATCAAAATCCTGGAAATCCCTCCCTAACAGTATTGTGGATTCAATCTACAACAAATGGGTTGCAGCAGTTCAATAAGGCAGCTCGTCACCCGGCAGCTCGTCACCCACTTCTCAAGAGTAATTTGGGATGGGCAATAAATGCTAGCTTGCCAGCAAGCCCAAACCCCTAACACAAACTGTTCTACTACAGAACAAGTGCCACTGTGAAGGGAATTTCATATTTCTCACATGTACTGCATATACTACCGGATGTGGTGTTTATTCTGTTGTGAACTTTAACTCCTCCTGCCCCCTTGTGTTGTGCTTTTTGCTCAATGTTCCCCACGCGTTCTTTGTTCTTAAACTCACCGGAATCCATGTCTCTGGGCAAGTGCTTCCTTCCACAGTATATGGTGATGCTGCACTCTGGCACACTTGTCCCTCACCTCCATGTCCCAAGCTGGTCCACCCCTCCACCCCAACAGCCCAACCTCATCCATCCTCAAACATGAGGCTGCACCCAACTTGCAAGCGGTCCATTGCTTGAAAAGGCAAAGGTCCCAGGCAAAGCCAGTTGAGTGTGTGTTTTGGGAACTGCAGAACGATCAAACGTTCACCTTGAAAGCCTGAGAGTAAAATCCGGCCCCCCTCCCTTCAGTTGCAGAACCACAGAGAGATGAGCACACCATACAGTGCAGAGTATTGAAATCCTGTTCATAAGTTTCCTATCTTGATTGTAGATAATATGGGTGTTTAATTTTACACCCCGGTTAGACCCAACATCAGTAGATTGCCACAGCCACTCAAGGTTATCTGACATGCTTAGGACTCCTTTCTGCCAATTTCTTGCTTGACACAAGTTATCTGGATACTGAAATAAAAGTGACTTTCCTTTGTTGTGTCATAGAATGTGCTTTGGAAGATGAGACTTATGAGGATGGAGCTGAGACTACAGTGGAGTGTAACCGATGCGTCTGTGCTTGCGGCAACTGGGTGTGTACTGCCATGACCTGTGACGGTAAGTTGAAATGTTAACCCATCTCTTCCAGGATTTTCAGATAGAGGAAAGGCGGTGTCAATTTGCGTTCTTCCTACCTACATACATATCTGCATTCAGAACCAAAATGTGCCCATGGTAGCTAGCTTCAGGTAGAGTAGAGAACGATTAGTTCCTTTGGAGAAAGTGAAATACACGTTCTTTTGTGCAAGTATTGAGGATTAATGAGTGCAGACCCTGTTAAGGATTTTTTTTTAGTCACAGGATCTGGTTGTCACTGGGGGGGGCAAGGCATTATTTTCATAGGATCCATACAGTGTGGAAGCAGGCCATTCAGCCCATCATGTCACTAACTCTCTGAAGAGCATCCCACCCAAACACACCCCATCCCTGTAACTTGCATTTCCCATGGCTAACCCACCTAACCTACAAATCCCTGAACACTGGGCAATTTAGCATGGCCAGTCCACCTAACTTGCAAATCTTTGGACTGTGGGAGGGAACCCCCGTAGTCACAGGGAGAACGTGCAAACTCCACACAGACAGCCGCCAGAGACTGAGAATCGAACCCAGGTCCCTGGCGCTGTGAGGCAGCAGTGCTGACCACTATGCCGCCCTTTCTCTAACTGCATCTTTTAGAAGATGACGGTGAGTCAATTCTTGAACTGCTGCAGGTGTAGGTATACCCAGAAGGTTTTCAGGTAGGGAGTTTCAAGAATTTGACTCAGCGATTGTAAAGGAAGAGTAATATAGTTCCAAGTCAGACTGGTGTGAGAGTTGGAAAGGAAACTGGGTGGTGTTCCTGTGCATCTGCCACCTATGTTCTTTTCTGTGTAATTTAAAACGATCCAGTAAAGCAGCAAGCGGAAAGCCAAGCAAAGCAACATTTAACTTACCAAAAAGGTACAGACCACTGGGCAATAAAATACTGTTTTGGTGTTGAGATGACTTTTTTTGAACTAAAGCACTGTTATATACTCCCACTAAATATTATGGACACCCAAAGGTTCATAAGGACTAAAAGCATAAGGATATAAGAGCAAAAATAAGTGACAATCCACAGAGCTGCCTAATTCAGAGTAAAGAACATTTTAAATGGACTTGGAAGTAGCGTTGGGCAGGGACTGGGATGGGAGGAGCTGCTATTTAATTATTTCTCTTGGCATTAGGGTGCCTGAGCATTTCCAAGAGTAAACTCTTAATGCGCATAGATACTGACCAGAAAGGCAACCACATTTTTTTAATAGCTGGAAGAAAAATATTTAAACTGAGGAGCATTGAAACAAAGAGAATGCTGGAGAAACTCAGCAAGTCTGGCAGCATCTATGGAGTGAAAGAAATAGAGTTAATGTTTCATGTCTGATACAACTGTACTTCACAAAGACCAAGACTTGCTGGGTTTCTCCAGCATTTTCTCTTTTTTTTTTCAGATTTCCAGCATCCATCATATCTTGCTTTTATCTGAATATTAAGAACACTTATTTGTAGCAGATGCCTGTGTTTTGAAAAGAGTGAAGTGTGGAATCAGTTGTACAGATCCTTACATTTTCACTAATAGGGGAAAAAGATGCAGGTTCCATCTCTTACACATTTAGCCTTATCATGCCAGAACTGTCCCTCTGAACCCCAGTTTGGAAACTTGTATTTTAAAAGGATAATCTGCACAAAAGAATACATTTGGCAATGTTACCTTTCTGCATTGGATAAGCCTTATTTTATATAGTCAAGAAAAACCATCAAATTGGCTGCTGCATTTGAAAGTGATGAATTTAGAGGGCTACAGGAATAGAGCTGGAGAACTGGACTAGTTGGGTAGCTCTTCAGGGAGCAGGTACAGATTCAAAAGACTGAATGGTCTCCTTCTCTACTGTAAGATTCAATGATCTCCTATACATTATAACAGGGACTACACCTCAAAAATACTGAATTAGGTGTAAAATGTCAAGACTTTTTTGCTTCCCTTCATACCTAGCTACAACCTACTTACACCATGAAATGACTCAAATTGATAATCTGACTAATCTGTTCGGTTGTTGATGAGTAATTGTGGTACAGACTTGCCATTAGTTAACCTGGAGATAGTAGGTACTACAATTGTAAAGCCTGTGCTTCTTGCAGAATCTCTGTTACCCTTTTTTCCCCATTACTGCAATTTTTCTTTAATTTCCTTTTCCATACATGATTCACTCTTTTCTTTTTCTCCGTTTTATTTTCTTCATTGACTTCATTAATGAAGATAAAAATAAGGACATTCCTGAGGAGCAGCCACAAACAACTGCCGATGATGAGATGACTGAGGAGGAGTGGACAAAATACGTTCACGAGCTCAACAAGCATCAGGTTAGTACAAAAGCAGTCTGAGACTGAAGGGCAGGCTTCATGGGTGACAGATGGTTGTTCATCTCTCATCCACTCAGGGAATATTAGTTTTCTCTATACACACCTCAAGACCTGTCCCCACTACACACAAGTCCGAGTTACAGATTTACCAGACCATTCAGGTCTTTGCCTAAACTGTCCCAATGAGTGGCAATTACCAATTAATATTTGTCAATGTGAGGCATTATGTTGTCAAGGTTTTAGCAAAAGATTTGTAGCTCAGGTTGTTGGCAAGGCTCTTGACTTGCTCGCCGAGCTGGCTTGTTTTCGTTCAGCTGTTTCGTCACCATGCTAGGTGACATCATCAGTGAGGCCTCCGATGAAGTGATGTTGTTATACTCCGCTTGGAATTTATATTGTCTGGTCCGTTATGGTGAGTAGTGTCATTTCCAGTTTTGTTCTGTTTGGGTTTGTATATGGGGTCCAATTCTATATGTTTGTTGATTGCATTATGGGTTGAGAACCATGCCTCTAGGAATTCCCTTGCCTGTCTATGTTTGGCTTGGGCTACTATAGTTACATTGTCCCAGTTAAATTGTTAGCCTTCATTATCCATGTGTACTGATATTAAGGAAATAACATCAGTACACTCAGACAATGAAGGTCATCAGTTTAACTGGGACAACGTTTGTTGATTGCATTATGGGTTGAGAACCATGCCTCTAGGAATTCCCTTGCCTGTCTATGTTTGGCTTGGGCTACTATAGTTACATTGTCCCAGTTAAATTGTTAGCCTTCATTATCCATGTGTACTGATATTAAGGAAATAACATCAGTACACTCAGACAATGAAGGTCATCAGTTTAACTGGGACAATGTAACTATAGTAGCCCAAGCCAAACATAGACAGGCAAGGGAATTCCTAGAGGCATGGTTCTCAACCCATAATGCAATCAACAAACGTATAGAATTGGACCCCATATACAAACCCAAACAGAACAAAACTGGAAATGACACTACTCACCATAACGGACCAGACAATATAAATTCCAAGCGGAGTATAACAACATCACTTCATCGGAGGCCTCACTGATGATGTCACCTAGCATAGTGAGGAAACATCTGAACGAAAACAAGCCAGCTCGGCGAGCAAGTCAACAACCTCATTCTGTTGCCAAAATAATTAAAGTAAAATGAAAAGATTTTGTGTAGATCAAAATCTAATTTTTATCTGTGCACTAGGCTGCACAGTTAAGATTTGTATTTGCTGGGATTTTGCAGGATCAGAGGCAACATGATTGAAACATATGAAATCCTGAGGAGTCTTGCCAGGTGGAAGTGGAAAGAATGGTTCCTCTTGTGGGAGAATCTAGAAAGATGGGTCACTGTTTAAAAATAAGGGGACTTGAGGTTGGTTGGCTCGCCGAGCTGGCTTGTTGTTTCGCAGACGTTTCATTACCCTGGTGGGTAACATCATCAGTGCAGCCTCCGATGAAGCGTCAGTGTGTTTTCCCGCCTGGTTTTTAAACTCAGGAGTCCGTTGAGCTGGATTGCCTCACTTCCGGTTTTCCTTAGTCGTGGAGTGTACATGGGGTCAAGTTCTATGTGTTTATTGATGGCTTTCTTCGTGGAGTACCAGGATTCGAGGAATTCCTGTGCCTGTCTCTGCTTAGCTTGTCCCAGGATTTTGGTGTTGTCCCAGTAGAATTGGTGGTCCTCCTTATCCGTGTGGATTGAGATGAGTGAGTATTGGTCGTGTATTTTTGTACCCAGTTGGTTTTCGTGTACCCTCGTTGTTAGTTTCCTTCCTGTTTGTCCGATGTAGTGTTTCTCACAGTCTCTGCAGGGGATCTTATAGATGACATTGGTCCTGTCCATGGCGGGGAGTGGGTCTTTAGTTCGGGTGAGCAGTTGTCGTAGGGTTGATGTGGGCTTGTGTGCTACTCTGATGCCCAGCGGTCATAGGAGTCTTGTGGTTGTTTCCGATGTGTTCCTGATGTAGGGTAGTGTGATGAGTGTGTCGGGGTGTGTAGTATCTTCCGATGTTGCTTGTGTAGGCATCTTCTGACCCAGTTTTTTGGATATCCATTATCCTTGAAAATCTGGAAGAGGTATTCTTCTTCCTCTTGGCATAGTTGTGTGTTGCTGCAGTGTGTTGTTGCCCTTTTAAATAGTGTTCGCACGCAGCTTCGTTTGTGTGTGTTGAGATGGTTACTGTTGAAGTTCAGTACCTGGTCTGTGTGTGTGGCCTTTCTGTGTATTTTTGTTTGGAGTTCTACCATGACGTCCAGGAATGGGAGCTGTTTATTCTTCTCCTCCTCTCTGGTGAATTTTATTCCGGTGAGGGTGATGTTTATAAGTTTTTGTGTCTCCTCTAGTTTGGTCCGTTTAAGGATGACAAAATTGTCATCTACGTAGCGTATCCATAGTTTTGGTTGGATTAGCGGAAGGGCCATCCTTTCTTGTCTTTGCATCACTGCCTCTGCTATGAGTCCGGAGATAGGTGATCCCATGGGTGTCCCATTGATTTGTTCATATGTTTGGCCATTGAAACTGAAGTGGGTGGTGAGGCATAGGTCCAGTAAGGGGACTTCCATGCAAGACTGAGATGAGGGGAAATAATTTGTTCTGAGGGATGCGAGTCTTTGGAATTCTGCTTTCACTCTTTGGTGGTGAAGACCGTATTTTAATATTTTTCAGGCAGAGGTAGATAGATTCCTAACAAGGAGGTGTAACAAAGGTTTTTGCAGTAGGCAGGAAAATGGAGTAATCAGATCAACAATGACTTTTTTGAATGGCATTTGGACAAAGTGGCCTACTCCTCCCTGCTCCTAATTCATATTTTCATATGTTCAAGGTGGCAAACTCAAACTACTGAGGGTCCGCAACTATTTACAATCTTTATAAATATTTTGGATAAACCAGACTGTATTATGGCCACTTTTGTTGATACGAAGATAGGAGGGGAAGGAAGTTCGAAGGAGGTCATCATGTGTCTGAAAGGAGAAATATACAGATTGACTTGACCAAAATTTGGTATGTGGAGTATAATTTAAGAAAATGTGAGATTACCCACTTTGGCGGGAGGAATATATAAGCAGAATGTTAATTAAACAGAAGTAGACTGTGGGATGCTGACTATTGAGTGATATGGGCTGGCTTGTGAGCTGTGAGGAGGCGGCAAGGGGGCTTCAAGTTGACCTAGACAAATTGACTGAGTAGGTAAACATGTAGGAGATGCAGTACAACATGCCCAAATGCGAAGTTAGATACTTCAGATTGAAAAACAGAAAGACAGAATTTTATTTAAGCGCTGATATATTGTGAAGTGTAGATGTACAAAGGCATCTGGATGTCCTTGTAAAGCAGTGAATAAAAATCAACTAACAGGTGCAGCAACCATTTTGGAAGGCAAATGGCACATCGGCTTTCATTGCAAGAGGTTTTTAATTCAGAAGTAGGGATGTCTTACTGCAGTTATACAGGGTCTTGATGAGATCACACTTGGTTTTGTTTGCAGTTTTGGTCTCTCTACCAAGAAAAGGATATACTTACCCAGATTGCCTCAGTTTTCTAAATTTCAATTTGAAGAGACCCAACTTGCTCAATCTTCCTTTGTAAGACAATTCTTTCATCCCAGGAAATCGACCTACTGAACTGCCTCCAATGCAAGCATAGTGGGCGGAATCGTACAGTGGTCTGAATGACATAGATTATGTTAAGATTTGCATCAGAATCATTTGAGAAGACGAAAAAGCCTAGCTCAACATCAGAGCAACTTGCTGTATTTTTATGTGTTTGCCAAACAGTGAGAGTTTCTGGCTAAGCATTGGCAAATTACTAATCAAGGGGGATTATAGCTTGTTAGATGCCTTATTAAAACCATTAATGAAACTCATTAATATTTCTATCCTACCAATCACACCAAACAAGCTAGAGATCAAGAATACTGAAGATGGAAGTTAGAGCAGGTACCTGGCAATTTCATCTCGCTGATTGCTCCAACTGACATGCTGGACCCAAAAGATTGAGATAAATTCAGAATACAGCGAAGGAGTACTAAAAATATAACAAAGAGGAAATAAACAATGAGGGCAAACTAGCAAGGAATATAAAAACTGACAATAAGAACTTCTTTAAATATATAAGTGAACATAGGCCCCTTAGAAAATGAATCTAGAGAGACGGTTTTGAAGAACAAAGAAATGCCAGAGGAGTTAAACAGATATTTTGTATTAGTCTTTATGGTGGAAAATACTTCAAACATCTCATTAATACTAAAGAATACAGGGGAGAAACATTACCATCACTAAAGCAGTAATATTAGACAAACTAATGGGGCTAAAGGCAGATAAGACCCCGACCCAGTTGGTTTGCACCCTTTGATCCTAAAAGATGTAGCGGATACATTGGTTGTAATTTTCCAAAAATTGTTGGATTCTGGAGAAGTACCAGAGGATTGGAAAACTGCTAATGTATCACCTTATTTGAAAAGGAGGGGAGCCGAAAAGCAGATAACTCTAGGCTGATTAGCCTAACATCTTCTGTTGGAAAAGTATTGGAACCAATTATTAAGGAAGTAATAGCAAAGCTTTTGGAAAATCATAATCTAATCAAGCTGAGTCAGCATGGCTTCATGAAAGGAAAATCATGTCTGACAAATTTATTAGATTTTGTTGAGGAGCCACTAGATGTGTTGTATTTCAACAAGATGTTTGACAAGGTACCTCATAAAATGTTAAGTCATGAGATAAGACCCCACAGTGTTGGAGTAGTATATTGGTAAGGACAAACAATTGGCTATGGACAGGAAACAGCAAGTAGGGTTAAGGGGTTCTTTTTCAGGTTGGCAGCCCACGACAGATGGATTTCCACGGGGATCACTGATGGGCCCGCAACTGTTTACAATATATATGACTGACTTTGAGGAAGGAAATGAATGTACTGTAGCCAGATTTGCAGATGACGCAGAAATAGCTGGAAAGGCAGATTGTGAGAGGGATACAGTTTACAGAGAGATA